AAATATTCTTCTTTGCAGAATTGTTTTAATTCAGGCACATGGGAAATTAAGGTTTAGGCCAGACTTTGACTAGGTTCTCACTACGGTTCACTGAAGACCCAGTGTCAGAAAATGCTTTTAAACCAGTGGTGTCAAAACCTTTAGCTGAAAGTCCTCTGGAGCCAAAATGTGTCTTTTCACCCCAATTAAAAACACAAAAATAAATTTAAACAGGGGCTACAAGAAGGGGACCATCACTTCAGACCCAGAATTCCAGCAACAGCTCACACAGCTGGACTTGGCCTCAGGAGCTCATCCGTAGCACTGTGACTAAACAGGCTCACTGCTATAGAGACGGTTGAACGTCATGCACAATCCCACTGACGATTATAAGCTTCGCACATGTGGTTCTCACTCACGGTCAGAAATAAAATTAAAAAATAAATAAATAAAGAGAGGGGGTGATTGTTTATTTCTAGAAGTTTTTCAACCTTCATACTAAGGATTTTAATTCACACTGAAAAATTCTGATAAATAATTTTATGTAAGCAAAATAAGAATAATCACAGGAAATATGTATTCTTCCCACAATGCATTGGGAGACTTCTCTCTGCGCCTGTTAGTGAGACTACTGACCGACTCCTCTGGCTGGGCCCCGTTGCCATGGTAATTAATTAATTATCTGCCCCTGTGCTGGCTCTCTCTGTATGCTGGAGTCAGAGTTTCTAATTCTAATTTAATCTAATAAATTATATTAATTTAATAGTTATTAAATTACAACTGTTATTATAATGTAATACTATTATTATTGCTATTGTTTTTAATAATAGCACTATTATTATTATTATAAAAACAATAGCAATAATAATACTAAATTATGACTTTATATTATATTATTTCTACTATCATTAGAAATAGTAACAATAATAATTATCAATATAAGTAATACTAATATTATTTATTATATTGATACTTTTTTATTATTATTGTCATTCACAATAATTATGATTAATTATAATAATCATTTTAGTATAATACTTAGCAATATAATAATTATTATATTACTAAGTATCATATTAATTATTATATAGTTGTATATTGATTAAAATACTAATATATTATTATTCATATTAATGCTATTATCATTAAAAAACAACAGCAATAATAATGTTAAATTATAACTTTGTTATTATATTGCTATTACTATTTTTATCAATAGTAATAATTTTCAATATAATAAATAATTATTATTTATTATATTGATTAACGTAATATAGTATTATTGTTATTATTACTACTAATAATTATGATTGAAGTTGAGCTTTTAGACTCAGCGGTTTCTTTTTCATCACCAAGTTATCCAGCCGGGGAAGTTTCCTCTCTGAGATTGGCCAAATCGTCCCCAAGGACAGATCTCTTTTGGGTACGGTCTTCCAAAGTCGCTTTTGTTAGCGCAGAAGTTGAGGTTTTACACTCAGCAGTTTTCCGTGGTTTGCTTCCTTGTCGATGAAGGATTGAAAAGAAAGTCATCAAACTCATTGTACTCAGTAGTGTCGTCCTTATGACTAGTTATATCAAATTTGATCCCTGGAAGCAGTTTGTTAAAAACTTTC